AACCCTCTAATTAGCTGAATTTCCAAGTCTCTAGCACAAATAATAAAAAAATGTTTTTTTCGGGGAGTGTCTCCCTTAAAAAGGAAAATAGCAGTCAACTGTTGGTACAAAGTAAGAAAGATTTACGTGCGTCTCTTATTACGGCAATGACAGAGAACTTGTTTTCTGCTTTGTATTCTCGGATTCTGAACAGAATCGAACACTTCTTGTGGTGCTTGAACAAGTTTATTAGAAGACACCACTCAGAAAGGTCTGATATTAGCGCCCTTCTCGCTGGATAAAGAGATGATTTCCCTGAGACGCATAAAACCTCGTTGGTGCCACAACAAACCTCGTTGGTGCCACAAATAGCCTGTGCATCTGGCAGAAGCTTCCGTAAAGATGCAATGAAATTTTTTTTTTCCCCAACAATCTTCTTTTGATGGACGCATAAATAGTCAGCACAGAATACTCAGTCTGAGCTATGAGCCCCACACATCACGTATAGTGAACAGCTATACACAGTCTAGATGTTTGTACTGAACAGCGCCACACTCATTCTGTCGCTTCTCTTATGGCGCTGCCATGACTCAAGAAGGCCTCGCGGTTTCACGTTTCAAAAAGAAGCCCACCTAAAATTTTTACTCTGATAACGTGTGGCCCACCCTGTGTGTCGCAGGACAAAATCCATCTGGCGCCGTCGGTGCCGCTGCGCAATTCTCTATCCCAGCCGTGAAGATCGCATTTCGATGGTGGCAAAGAGGTAGAGGGGAGGGATTTAGGTTCACGTTAATGAATAAGAGGTGGTCAAAATTTGCAGAGCCTCCCACCACAGCGTCTCGCATAATTATGTGGTAGTTTTGCGACGTAAAACGTCACCTCCACGTTTTCAAACAGCGAAAATGCTAGGGTCGAGATAATACAGGAAGAAGTTATGAGAGTGACGCAGAAGAGGTGATAACGGGAAACAGATTGGATGGCTCGGTAGATCCCCGAGTCTCCAAAAGCTTGTTTATATACGGTGTGCATTGCACTACATGATTGAAGGTCCCTGTATCTACAGCACGCTTGCAAGGGAAACAGGCAGTGAGAAAGCACCTCTATAATGGCACACCAGCTCATTATGGAAGACGGCAATTACGGATAAGGCTTCTTTGGCACCAATTCCATAAGCTGTACTGTGTGTGCCTGGCTGGTTTTCGCAAGGTCATTCAAAACATCCTCTCGCAGTGCTTTGCATGGTCTTGACAACAAAATAATGTTGGCCTAGGTTCACGGTGCAGGCACGCACAATTCCTCTAGGGGGTCCTCCAGTCTCACATGCCTTGGATCCAATAAAACATTGACATAATCTTTTGTTCAACTAAAGCTATCATAATAAAGTTCTGCTGCTGAAAAAGTTGGAGGTTTTAGTAAAATGCAGGCTCAGAGACAACCAGTAAGGGCCAACGCCCTCAGAAAGGGCCACTTTGGGCCACTGTATAAAGAAAATGAGGATATATAATACTGATACCACGCGTTGAGTGACATGAGCGGACTTCGATAAAAATTTTGATTGAAATTGGGACCAAGGATTTTTTTCCAATTTCTTTTTTGAAAATGACCTTTTTGAAAAAACTCGCATCTTAAACTATGTTTTTTTTTATGTGCTGCATCTAGGGAAACAATTTTTTGAAGAAGTGTGGAAAATATATTGCTCTAAGTTAACACTTTTGAAATTTTTGATTGAAATAAGGAATGTGCCAAGGCACATCAAAGAAACCAAGCTTTTTCATTCCAACCAAGGTTGCAATTTTTCAGAATTTTTTTGGTTCTGCAGACAGCTTTAGAAAAGCATGGATGTAATTAACTGTGATGCGTATTAAAAAAAAAATTTAACACAACGTTTAGAGCGCACATTTAATTGGCTGGTGAAATTGGGAAATGTTGCAGCAAGGAATAGCGCGCCGCCACCTTCAAACATATTTATGGCGCGCTGGGATTTGTTTTGGGAAATTAAATTTTCAGTTCCGTGCACCTCAAATATATCCACAAAGCATATAAGAAGAACAGACAAAACAAAAACATCGTACAGACATGCACGTCTCGTGGAGTCACCCAAAAATGGGAGTGATTGTATGAGCACCTTCACAATTGCCATTCATAGAGGTGAATGTGTGTTTTTGCATGCATTACAATGAAACACCGGCTTGTCATCTTTATGTAGCTTGGTGTGGGGGTCCATCCTTTCTCACATTATGCCCTCTCTCAATCCTATACAGTAAAAGCTTGTTAATTCGGATTTCACGGAACTGGAAAAACTGTCTGAATTAACCGAATGCCGAATTAACGAATGAACAGGGAAAACAACATTTAAAATCAAGCTGCAGAAGCATACCTTTATTTGTTGAAGTATTTTGTAATTGTCGTCTGCATTTTCGCGCAGATTCCGGCTGACATCACAATTTTTCTTAACTGTTCCAAATGGCCAACAGCACGCAAGCTGTCGGGAGTGTTCAGGCAAGCGTCCTCTAATATTAACAGCGCCTTCGAGACTTCCCGTGAGGTGCGATGAGGTCGCGGCTGTATCTTCTCGCATGATTCTTCGTCAGAATCGTGGTCTTCATGGGCGCCCGTGACATCATTAATAATCTCTTGATCGGTCAGGAGACCACTCCTGGCGACACCATGATCAATCGCGATGTAGTCCTGAAAGATCACATCTGTGGGAAGGACAGCACCAAAAGTCGTGCAGTCATCGTTGGTGGACTCGGCTGACACCTCCTCGATGCCATCGTCAGCTACTGCTGCATGCTCGGGCCTCACAAAACCGCTGTGCCGAAAACAGTTGGCGATGACTTGCGGCAGAGTGTTTTTTCACACGTGGGCGATGATGTGCACTGCGCCGAGTAAGTCCACTTAATAGAACTTTCCAGCTTCTGAGCATAGGATCATTCGCTCTAGCAGGTACTTGCGGTACTTCGACTTCACGTAGTGAATGATACCCTGGTCCATCGGCTGAAGAGCAGACGTTGTGTTGGGCGGCAAAAAAACTACTTTGATGCTCCTCAGTTCGACTGTACAGTTATGGGCACAGCAGTTGTCAACAACCATAATTATCTTGCGGTCCTTCGACGTGAAGTGCCGGTCCAACTGCTGCAGCCAGCCGTGAAAAATGTCCGATGTCATCCATGCCTTCCTGTTCGCTGTGTACTCGACAGGAAGGCTTTTGACGTTCTTAAAACAACGTGGCTTAAGCGCCTTCCCGACGACAAGTAGTGGCAAGCGCTCCGTGCCAGTCATATTGGCAGCAAGAAGCACAGTTATCCTTTGCTTGCACTTCTTGCCACCAATGCACGCGTCCCCTTTGAAAGTCACCGTCTTGTCGGACAGAGCTCTGAAAAATAGAGCAGTTTCATCTGCATTGAACACGTCACGTGGTTCATATGCGGCGATGTGCTCCAGCAGCTTCACATTTCTCCACTCGGTGGTCACGCTTTCGTCAACACTGGCCTTTTCGCCGCACACACTCCTGAAGACAAGTTCGTGTCTCTCTCGAAACCTCGCAAACCACCCTTCTGACGCTTTGAACGATTCAATGTTCATCATTGCAGCGTCCTTCTCACCTTGCGCCATGATGAGAGGTCCGCTCAAAGGCAGATGCGCGTTGCGACAGTCAGTAATCCACCGGAGCAAAGCTTCTTTGAGCTGGGGATGAGCTGCGGTTCGCAACCGCTTTCTAGAGGCATGAAACTTCTCGCTTTCAAAGGCTTGTCGAATCTGTTGTTCATTTTTCACGTACGTTCCCAACATGCTCCGCTTCACGTTGTACTTGGTCATAACCTGCTGTCGCGATTCGCCGTTCTTCAGTGCTTCCAAAATTTTCACTTTAGTCGCCAAGTTCTTCGCGTCGTAGTTCTGCCGCTTTTTCGGCGTTGCCATCACTGTAGCGCACGATGGTGGTGGCATGCAAATACGGTCACAATGGAAGAAAAAGAGAACTCAGCAAGAAGAGATGGTTCCGACACGACAACACAAGGGAAAATGGCGTCGGAGGCGCTGAGTGGAGAAGAAAGAAGACGCCGACGTTCGGTGACGCTGCGATTGCCCCCACTAGTTGATGATGATGGCGATGTCACTCAGGTTTTGGTTTCACTCCAGTGGTGCCAGTGCTGCTTTATCACACTTTTGTGTAGCAGCAGCCGTCAGCATTTGTCCGAATTAAGCGGTGCGGAGCCGAATTCCGACGAAATAATGAAGGTTTGGTCCCATTGATTAACATGCACTTTGGCCGGGACCAATAGAGCCGTCCGAATTATCTGAATTTCCGAATTAACGGGTGTCGAATTAACGAGCTTTTATTGTACATTTATTCACCTAGACGTGAATAAACCAGTTGCAAGTTTACACAGGTGTCCGTCGTTTCTTTCTTCGACGTGCTGAATTTTTGTACAATCTTTTCTTTCCAAAAAAAAATTCCTAACGTCGTTTCTTTTTTCGACGTGCTGAATTTTTCTACAATCTTTTCTTTCCGAAAAAAAATTCCTAACACAAAAACGAATAGGCACCACCCTCCAGTCCAATGAGGCACCATTTGGGGTGACGGTGTTTTTTCTGATAACATTCTGCTGCGATGCGCCTTTTTCCAAAGTTTGCAACACGAGTTTGCTGGTCTGATGTAATTCAGATGGCCTATTTTCTGTGTCCTCAATACCGACGATTATCATCTAAAACATACATGCTGTTTCATATTTATTTAAAAAATTTATATGCCATAAATGGTCATGTCTTAAAATTATTAATGCAATTAAAAAGTTAACTAAGGAGTTTTAGTTAACTGCTCATTTCAGGGTTACTTTAGGTGTGAGAAAATTTGTGTAGAGAACAGTCTGAACGCTTTTACAGAAGATATGTGTTCTAAAATAAAGGCACCCTGTAAATCTAGGCTTGCTTGTGAGCATAGTTTGAGTTTTGTGCATGCTTCCTCTACATTCTTGCAGGTAACGTTAGACGGTCGGCCAGAATACAACTTTGATACGTACTGTCACTCCACTCCTGGACCTTGGCCCGCTCTTCGGGATCGCCATCTTTCCAGTATTTGATGATGATCTTGGTGGTGGGCATGCCTCCGTCATCGGCAGCGTGGACAAAGGCAAACGTGACGGTGGTCGGCGTGAGCGACTCGACCCGTGGAGTGGGCAGAGCCCCGGGGAGGCGTGCCTCTTCCAGCCGGATGTCAACCGAGCCCTTGCCCAAGAAGTTCTGTGCTTCGCAGACATACGTGCCGAAGCGGTCGGGAAACGTGGGCGCCACGGTCAGCTTGCTGCTTCCCCGGCTGCCCTCGACCTTAAAGTACTGCCCCGTGCGCTCCTGCAGCGGCTGTTTCCGGTAGAACCAGGCCAGGGTGGCGTTAGGGATGGCCTCCGCTACGCACTCCAGAACAGTCGGACGCTGGCCCCACGTCTTCACAGGGTTCTCGCGGGCAAACACCTGCGGCGAGACTGCAGACCACCAATTGTAGAATAATTAGATACAGACAGAAGAAGAAAGAACACTCGTACAAGAGTTACTCAACTTTCAACCCTCACTGAAAGTCTCGACTGCAGATATGGCACATCCAACCCACAGGTTTGCTCCACATTAAAAAATGTAAGGGGTCAAAGGTCTCGGCACAAGCACTTTGGCAGAAGTAGGGCAAAAGCTGTGGAGAAAATGACATTCACATAAAGCACTATAATCCGTCCCTTAGAACAGTCCATATGAGGTGCCCAACTGAACCTAAACTTGAATTTTCGACACGCTAACGCTGACCACCACCATTATTCTTAAGGTAGACTTAGTGCCAATACCACGGTGACCGAAGGATGAGCACTTGTCCTCCTCTCTTCTTGGTATTTGCATTAAGTCTACCGTAAGAATGAACCAACTCATCCAACAAGTCGCTCTACTGAACCATTATTCTTGGAATTGGCTTCACCTTGGGCTCAACAAGAACTAAAAAACACACACACACACACAAAAAATGGCCCCGTATCTGCATGTTAATTTGCAAATGTCGTCGAAAGACGATAGCCTTGCATGTGGAGAGAGTGAATAAAACATTTATTTGATGTTCTGCACAAGAAAATCGGTGAATCCTATTCTGGAGGCGCTGCGTTAGAGTGCCTCGAGCGTGCAGCGGAAGGAAACGAGCGCATCGTCACGTCACACGTGAGACATGAGCGTCATCTGGCAGTTTTTTGGTTAACGAAGCGGGTGGCTTTGAGACGGGTGTGCGCGCCTGTCTCAGAGGTGATAAGGTGTAGAACGCAAGGCGACGGGTAGGGTCTCATCTTAGCAAAGCGTTGGAAACACTCGCCTTTTCGTGCAACCGTTGCATGGTTAGCGCAGCGCGATGAACGCTACGGTCCTTAAAATTACTTATGCATGCCTTTTCTAGTAAAAGGCACACATGCAGAATACCGTATAATCTGAACTATAGGTTGAGTGGGAATATAGGTCGACCCCCCAAGTTCAGGTTACCGAAAAAGAAAAAAAAGGAAACCAACCCAAAACTGCCGAACCACATTTATTCGCGAATTGGGCGCACCACACCCCGATCCCCGGAGCTCCCCTGAGCCAACATCACAACTGGATCCTATTGGTCCGACGAAGCACTACTGTCCTCCGAAGATGAGAGTTTGTCGCTGGCCGCCTCCCACAGTGCGTCGCCCTCCGTGTTATACAGCGAGTTCCTGAAGCAGCATTTCTTGAAAGCCTTTTCCACCATAGAATCTGGCAAGGAACGCCAGGCGGAAAGCACCCAGCCACAAACAGTCACAAGCGGAGGCCTCTGTAGGCGGCCCGTCGGTGTCTGGGGTGTCGCCGGACATTCACTCTTGGTACTCCAGACGTACTCGGTCCTTGAACGGCTTTTTCAGCGCACCGTCGAGCGGCTGGAGGGTGGACGTCATACCACCTGGTATCACGGCGAGGTCCATTTCCCGTCGCCGAGTGCGCGTTTCACAGCGTCGGTTAAGTGACCACGAAACGCATCCAATACCAGCATGCTGCGAAGACGCAGCAGTGCACTTGCCCGGCGGTTCCACACTACTCTTATCCATTCGAGCGTCATGACCTCGTTCATGTATCTCTTTTTGTTGACGCGAAAGACAACACCGGACGGGAACACTTCCTTCAACATTGTCTTGCATTTGAAAATGAGGAAGGACGGAAGCTTTCTACCATCTGCCGTGCATGCCAGCATGACGGTGAAGCGCGAGTGCTCGTTGCCAGTGGACAACAGCTTCACATCCTTGGCGCCGCGCTGCGTGATTGTGGTCGACGAAGACATGTCAAACCACACGGGGGTCTCATCGGCGTTGCCAATCTACTCCATCATGTAGTCGTTCTGCTCCGGAAGCCGATTCACGAAGCACTGAAAGTTATAAGCTTGTCCTCGAACTCCTCGGGCAACATCTGACGGATGGATGTGCGCCGCCGAAGAGAAAATCCTTTGCATCGCATAAATCGACGCACCCAATAGCTTGGTGCACGAAACTCTTCTCTCTTGAGCCTAGCTTCTCGAGCGAGTTTCACGGCTTTCTTACGAATGGTATCCACGGTCACTGGCAGCGAGCCTGCACGAACTTCCCGCACAAAGTGCGCTAGCTTATCCTCCAGCTGTGGATGAATGGCACTTCGTCTACGAAACGACATTTCTCGAAGATTGCACATCTGCAGCTTCTCTTTCTGCGCCCTCCAATAGCGCACGCTTTTTTTCCCGATACACCAAAGCGACGCTGAGCAGCCATATGCGACGCTGAGCAGCCATATAGACAGTGCTAAAATTAGTGTTATACAACGTTCACAGTACCTCTGATATCAATAAAAGATGTATTTCCATCTATTAAAAAAATGCAAACACTGTTTTGTGCTAATTTTGAATACCTGAAGGAAAGATACAATGGCTGTTGATGCATTTCACCATGTGCACAAAGGAAAGTTTGCAGATGGGTTTACTAGGTGGCACCGCCATATCAACAGCCTCCTTCCACAAGCTTCGCATAACATCGATTCCCAAGGCATTTGCTGATTTTTTATGGCTCTCTGTGCTGAAGCACCGAGCCATAAACTATGTTGACACACATGTTCATTGTTGCGTTTTCCAAGCACCACAACATCACAGCCCTCGCTCTGACTTTTTTCTGAGCTGTGAATTTGTCGAGTTATCCTCTGGCGAGCTCTTTTAGCTATACACTAATGGTAGTTCATGCTCACTAAAGAACATGCACAAAGAGCACCAAGCTTTAATTTATAATTCAGGCCAGCTGCATAGAAAAACTACACTAACACATGCCGGCGCACACATCAAGTAATAGGTAGCTAGCTTAGGTTAACACATTAAAACTGGTTGATTGATTGACATGTGGGGTTTAACATACCAAAGCCACCGTATAATTATGAGAGACGCCATAGTGGAAAGAGGGCTTCAAAAATTTCGACCACCTGGAGTTCTTTAACGTGCACCCAAACCTGAGCACACCCGCCTGCAGCAGATTAAAACGGAACACTACTGTCAAATGTAATGAGGTTCTCAGGAGCAGACAACTTTTGTATCGCTCCATCAGGGGAGTAATCTCAATGCACATGCGATTGTTGCAAGTTTCAATATGAGTGCAATAAGTTGCTTTTCCTTTAGAGTTAATATACACGCGCTACTCCAAACAAGGCTGAGTGATGCTATCACGTTATGATGTAGGACAAAACATAGCCAGCAAGGCAACAATTCCTTTTGCGTGGCAACCCATAGGCTTGGCCGCAGCACGTTGTCCACTGGATGACCCCAAAACTGCTACTAGCAGTCGCATAGTGATACAGATGACGTAACATGCAGTATTGACTGCTACGTGGTGTCTAATTTGCACACCTGAGCCTGTGAATGGTGCATGTCAACCACAAAAGCTTCCATTGGCCAAAAATGAAAAAATATCGTCTTGACAACAAGCCTACAGACGTTATCAAGCAGCTCCCTGTAACAGAACTGTTCAAGATAATGGTCCCCGAAATGGCATGTGATCAAAGCATATCCAGTGACCTTGAAGCCAGCAAGTTGCCAGCAGAGCAAATTTTACTTTTTACAAGGGCGCATTGTGCTTGTTTTTGCTTTCCTTAGAAACCATCATGAGTCGTGCAACTAGACAGGACACACACAAGAAGGAACAGACGAGCACAGGCGCACTCTCATGCGTCCTGTCTAGTTGTGCAACGAGCGATGATTGCTATGTCAAAACACCAATTCACCCAACAGTGAACTCTTTTTAAACTTAATTTTCTCTTTTTAATGTTCATTTTCACTTTTCTTCTTTTCGATCGACAAAATAATACTTGTAAATTACATTGTTCTAAGATGCAGAGTTTCAATATTTATTCCATTGCATTCGAAATCATATCCTCCGGCGTACTGTCAGAAGTTCCACCTTGTTCGGTAGTATCGTTGGCTTGCTATTGTCAGCGTATGAGTAACTTTTTTGCACAGTGTTGTAAGCACCTCAGTGGCATTGCCTCTGTGGCACCATGAGGCACAGTGGGAAGACATGAACAACTACCATGCCACACGACCAGCACCAACACACATGTGAGTGCAAAAAATGTAAATGGCTACCAGAAAGCCAAAAGCTGCGACTACTGCTGCACTGCACTGACGCCTCACAGGAAAACTGATGATAATGATGAGAACAAACCAGTGTTTCACTTTTGGAACTAGTATTGCTGGCACTATAACGTTACAATGAAACATTGTGATGCAAGACTTGGGCATGGTACATGAACCCTTGCAATAAAACAAAGGAACTATTTAATGACACTGGACAAGGCAACATATTTACGTGTCAGCGTCTGCACCTTCACTGCTGAATAAAACTGAAAGTGGACTGACAGCGACACCCAAACGAATCCCGGAAGCACTACGTTGCCAGCTGTGCGGCTCATTATTGCACAGGACACTACACACGACACTTGCGCAATCCGTCGCCATTCTGATGAACTGTCACTCACAATGGCGCTTGCCTTAGTTGTGCGCTTCCTTCAAGAACACAAAACTTGCTTAGTTTACTGTCACTCACAATGGCGCCTGCCTCAGTTTTGTGCTTCCTTCAAGAACACAAAACTTGCTTAGTTTAAAAACAAGAAATTGAAACAGTACAGTACTTATGAAGCATGCGACACAGCGTCGATATTGGTTTCGCTGCAGCTATGCGAGGCCAAATCTCAGCCCAATGTTGCTGGCTGTGAGTTCTGATGAACTGTCACTCACAATGGCGCTTGCCTTAGTTGTGCGCTTCCTTCAAGAACACAAAACTTGCTTAGTTTACTGTCACTCACAATGGCGCCTGCCTCAGTTTTGTGCTTCCTTCAAGAACACAAAACTTGCTTAGTTTAAAAACAAGAAATTGAAACAGTACAGTACTATTGAAGCATGCGACCAGCGTCGATATTGGTTTCGCTGCAGCTATGCGAGGCC